CGAAAGATTAATCACCTTTTGTTGTTTTTCTTTTCATTGCGTTGTTAAGAGCCAAACCAACCAGCTAAAGACAGAACAGTAGGCTCCTTTCAATTTTATAACAAAAGCGCTTTTTCTCTCTCTCTTTGTAGACAAACAATATGAAATTTAGCATTTTGTTATTGATAAATTAAAGTAGGGGTAATTGCATTTTAAAACCAAATATCAACAAAATACTGTGGAAATTTGTATTAAACATGATCACACCGCGTCATTCAGTAATATCGACTAAATATATTTCAATTTCTTTGAAGAAATACTAGAATGAAAATGTAATTGAATAACTTTAGATGGATAAATATTAACGCGAATGATAACTCATGATTAGGCTTATGTAGCCGATGTAACTTCTTTTTTCTTATGGTTAACGAGATAATATGCAATCATAATTTAAAAGTTTTTCCGTCATTTCTATGTTTTAGTATTAAAAAGATTGTTATACATATATTCGTAGTTATGTATGTGGAAAGAGACAGATGTGTCATGCAAGCACTTATAGAATGTTTTTCAAATAAAAATTATTTAGCAAAAAAAAAAACTCATGATTAGAATTAATAATATTAAATAATTAATTAAATAGCAAAAAACGTTTTAAAAAATCAAATAATAATTTTATTAATTGAATTGAGTTTTTCACATTTTCATCTGCACTTAGATGACAAGATAATTAACAAATGTTTTTTCCCGCAACATTTAGCAGAATTTTCTATTTCTCTCATGTTTTTCAACTTAATTATGGAATCACGTAGGATGATGATGATCCATTCACCATTTTTTATTCCATATTTTACACATTCACTTACTGTCTAAATTTGTTTTAACAATCTATTAAACAATTTCGTATACCATAACAAAAAAAACCAAGTATTAAATTTTTTTAAAATGAAAAATATGGAATATGTAAATGTGTAAGAATTAATCCTTTTGGTCAAATTTAAGGATAATGTAATGAAGGTTTTATATTTCTTAGTTATTTTGGCTAAATTTATATTTCTTGAAAACTATTTTTCAAATATTTTTTTTGTATGGGGACTAGGATTTAATTTTTTTTTTTTGAACAACGGACTAGGATTTCATATATAACTTTTTATTTATAGAGAAA